AAGAGCTTCACAGATAAGGAAAAGCTAAAGGAGTTCATCACCACCAAACCAGTATTATATGAAATGCTGAAAGGTATCCTTTAAGAAGAGGAAGAAGAAGAAAAAGGTAAAGATACAAATTATGAACAACAAACATGCATCTATCAACAAATGAATCTAAGAATCAAGTGAATAAATAACCTGATGTACAGAATGAACTGGTGATTATAATAGAATCAGGGACATAGAAAGGGAATAGACTGACTATTCTTGGGGGGAAAAGGGGTGTGGGAGATGCGGGAAGTGACTGGACAAAAATCATGCACCTATGGATGAACACAGTGGGTGGGGAGTGAGGGTGGAGGGTGGGGTGGGAGCTGGAAGGAGGGGAGTTATGGGGGGAAAAAAGAGGAACAAATGTAATAATCTGAACAATAAAGATTTAAAAAAAAAAATGGGCAACGGACCTAGATAGACACTTTTCGAAAGAGCACATACAGAAGGCCGAAAGACATATGAAAACATGCTCAAAGTCACTAATTATACGAGAGATGCAAGTCAAAACGACAATGTGTTATCATCTCATACCTGTCAGAATGGCTATCATCAACAAATCAACAAACGACAAGTGCTGGAGAGGATGTGGAGAAAAAGGAACCCTCATGCACTGCGGGTGGGAATGCAGACTGGTGCAGCCACTATGGAAGATAGTATGAAGTTTCCTCAAAAAGCTAAAAATGGAACTCCCATTCGACCCAGTGATCCCACTTCTAGGAATATATCCCAAGAAGCCAGAAACACCAATCAGAAAGGATATATGCACTCCTATGTTCATAGCAGCACAATTCACCATAGCTAAGATTTGGAAACAGCCTAAGTGCCCATCAGCAGATGAGTGGATTAAGCAACTGTGGTACATCTACACAATGGAATACTATGCTGCGATAAAAAAGAAGGAACTCTTGCCTTTTGCAACAGCATGGATGGAACTGGAGGGCATTATGCTAAGTGAAATAAGCCAGTCAGAGAAAGATAAATACCACATGATCTCACTTATTTGTGGATTATAGAGAACAACATAGACTGATGAACAGGAACAGATCCAAGACAGAGAAACAGCAATTAGACTATCAATCCCCAGAGGGAAAGTAGGGGAGGGAGGTGGTAAGGGGAAGAGATCAACCAAAGGACTTGTATGCATGCCTATAAGCCAAACCAATGGACATGGACAACAGGAGGATGAGAGCATGAGTGTGTGTGTGGGGGTGGGGGGGAATGGGGATTAATGGGGGGGATGAGGATACATTTGTAATACCTTAACTAATAAAAATTTAAAGATTAAAAAAAGATGTATATGCTTTGTTTTAAACATGATTTAGAACACATTACATATAACTTTCTATACTGATTTTTTTATGGAACATTATTCAGCAGCATTTTGCCATGTTATTAAAGACTAGAGGCCTGTTGCATGACATTCATGCACTCGCAGGGGTCCCTCAGCCCAGCCTGTGCCCTCTTGCAGTCTGAGAGTGGGCCTAAGCCGGCAGTCAGACATCCTTAGTGCTGCTGCAGAGGCAGAAGAGGCTCCTGTCACCACTGCTGTGCTCACCAGCCATGAGCCCAGCTCAGGGCTTCTGGCTGAGTGGCACTCCCCCTGTGGGAGCACACTGACCACCAAGGGGCAGCTCTTGCATTGAGCGTCTGCCCCCTGGTGGTCAGTGTGCATCACTGTGACTGGTTGTTCCACTGTTTGGTCAATTTGCATATTAGCCTTTTATTATATAGGATTGTTCAAAAACCATCTCTGATGGCTACATAATATTGTGAATATATCATAGAATTTAACTTTCCTTCCATTGTTGAGCATTTAATATGTTTCTGACTCTCAATAAATATTTCCAAACTACTTTTCAGAATTTCACCATCCCCAGCAATTCAGGAGAATACTATTTCACTGTACTCTTCCAAAGACTGAATGTTTCAACTGTAAATTTTTGTCAACCTGACAAGTGAACAATGAGTTTTAATTTGCAGTTTGATTAATGAAGTTAATTTTTCAATCATTTCTATTGATTCTGCGGATCATTCATAACCTTAACTGAGACAAAATTGACTCTTAATAAAGTTTTATAAAAATGTATGGGAACCACACCAGAGATACCAGATAGTCAAGGCCTTGTTCTTAATATGCCTTATGGCCAATGCCACTCTGAACATGAGAATTTTAATCAGAATGTCCAAGGCTAGGATACCATATGCACATGCAAGGACAACAATCTCAGGGTACACTGCACACATGTACCTTTCTGCGGCCAGAATGATCGATGTAACTATTGGCAGGAGGCCTCTTTTGTCCACGTGGTGTAAACAGTTACTGACCAGTCAGTGTGCTGGGGGAAAGACAGCTCAGAGGGTGTCGCGCCCTGTGTGCAGGAAAGGCTGGAGAGGCTGGAGAAGCCGCTGAGGCAGAGAGCTCTGGTGCTGCTCCTGTGTGAGGGGATGCGTCTAGGGCAGCACGCGCTGCTCAGATAATATCTGTGGGTGCAGAGACGGCTACTCCTGTGTGGGAAAGATGTATGTGTTTATCAGCCGGAGTGCGGCTGTTTATGGACTGCTTAAAGAACTGTCTTATCTGATGGCGATGTGGCCACTGGCTTCAGAAATAAAGACTCCTTCGTATACACCCACAACTTCTCATGGCTTCTCCGTCTAAGACCCGGCGTCCGAGAAGGTCCAGCCCTAGGCAGAGGGGCGGGCCCCAACAGTTAGAGCAGCGAGCAGGGCTCTAGATCAGTGGTTCTCAACCTGTGGGTCGCGACCCCTTTGGGGGGTCGAACGACCCTTTCACAGGGGTCGCCTAAGACCATTGGAAAACACATATATAATTACATATTGTTTTTGTAATTAATCACTATACTCTAATTATGTTCAATTTGTAACAATGAAAATACATCCTGCATATCAGATATTTATATGATGATTCATCACAGTAGCAAAACTACAGTTATGAAGTAGCAACGAAAATAATTTTATGGTTGGGGGTCACCACCACATGAGGAACTGTATTAGAGGGTCGCAGCATTAGGAAGGTTGAGAACCACTGCTCTAAGAAGGAACCTGCCCTGACAGGTGGCATCGTCCTTGGCAGAATTCAGGAGACGAGATGGACACAGAACGCCTGTTGGAAAACGTGTTCATCAACTGCGTATGGTTGCATTTTTTAAAATTAGGCTTTTCAGCCCTAACCGGTTTGGCTCAATGGATAGAGCATCGGCCTTCGGACTGAAAGGTCCCAGATTCGATTCCGGCCAAGTGCATGTGCCTTGGTTGTGGGTGCATCCCCAGTAGGGGGTGTGCAGGAGGCAGCTGATAGATGTTTCTCATTGATGTTTCTAACTCTCTATCCCTCTCCCTTCCTCTCTGTAAAAAATCAATAAAATATATATTTTTTAAAAAAAGACAAATAACCCATTTTAAAAAATAATAATAAATAAATAAATAGCTTTCCAATCTACTTGGTAACTTATTTACAAAAAATAAAATAAAATAAAATTAGGCTTTTTATTTTGAGATGATTGTGGTGTCACCTGCAGTTGTAAAAAGTAACAGCAATCACCTGTGCCCTTGCCCGTTCCCCACAATGGCAGCAGCTTGGAGAACGGCAGCGCAAGATCACAAACAGATACGGACACAGGCTCCACCGAGACCAGGCTCTTCGTCACCGCGGGGACCCGCCCGCCCGCCCTGGCCCTTTCCTGTAGTTTCGTCATTTCCGGGAGAAGCGGGTCCCGACCTGTTCAAGGTCCAGCCAACACCCTCCACCAGGTATCTTGCCCGGCGCGTGGTGCCGGCTGCCAATCAGAAGCAGGAGGAAGTGACGTCATCAAGCTGACGGAAGAGCAGCAAGAAGGCTGGTTGTTCGTCTACCCATTCCACATTCGTCGTGGAGAAGGGCCACTTTAGAAGGGGGAGTTATACTCTCTGGCACTTCTGGCTTACTCTCAGCTTGGACTGAATGTACTCTCATATCTGGAAAAAGAAGTCTTTGGAAGAGAGTGTCACGCGTCCTAGTTAGCAGGCTTGAGGATATAGGGATGGGAGCGAAAGTTTCATGGGCGGAATGCCATTAGAGTCTGGGTTCACAGAAAGGCATGCTGGTTGGACAGGACTTCGGAAACCCTGGCATAAAGCTGTCAGGTTTTCAGGAGGTTCAAATTTAGGAGCTTTCCACTGAGTTCAGCTTCTCCTCTTGAGAGAGATTAACTGATTGGGAAGAGCAGTGGTAT